CTTGAGCCCAGGAGTTGGAGGTTGCTGTGAGCTGTAATGCCACAGCACTCAACCCAGGGGGACAGCTTGAGGCTCTGTCTCAAAAAAAAAAAAAATGTGTATTTTGTAGAAAGAAAAGACAATTCTGTCTTTTTAAAAACATATTGCACTGTCTACCGCTGTACCACCCTGAACAGGCCCAATCTCGCCTAAAACATAATGCACTCACATCTGAAATGCACAGATTTTACAATGTTAGTTTCTATGTAAGTTTGTATTCTCTATTAAAATTAAAAATGCTTAACAGGCTTTGCCTGTAGCACAGTGGTTACAACGCCAGCCACACGTACCAAGGCTGGCAGGTTCAAACCTGGCCTGGGCCCTAAACAATGACCAACAAAAAAATAGCTGGGCATTGTGGTAGGTACCCGTAGTCTCAGTATTTGGGAGGTTGAGGCAAGAGAATCACTTAAGCCCAAGAGTTTGAGGTTGCTGTGAGCTGTGACACCACAACGCTCTACCAAGGCTCTGTCTCCAAGGCAACATTTGAAATTTGGAGGTGGGGAGCTCGATCACTTAGATATTTTTTGACAAAAGTTTCTGTTTTTTAGTCTTTCTCAAGTGATAATAAGTGTCCCTAAATCAACTTTGTGCTGTAGTTTAAAGCAATAAAAAGAATGCAAAGAAGTTTAAGATGAGCTAATTAATTAGCCTTACTATTCAAATGCTAATAAGCTGATTTCAGAGAAAAATAGTAAGATCACTGGAAAAATAAATCCCAACAAGAAATGTTAATGATTTGAATTATCCAGAATGAAGAAAGTCAACAAGACACAAAAGTTTAAGCACAGAAGGCCTATTCCATTAAGAAAAATAGCTAAGTATTACCCAACTGTACTGAAATAAACTATAAAATATAGTATATATTAAAGAAGAAATTCAGGTGTTTCAAAGATGTTTCCCACATAAAAACCTTAAGTTGGCAATAAAGTTTTATTCTGAAGGACTTCAAAAATACAACCATCTGTTTCTAAAATATTTTTGTGACAAAAATTCCCAAACTATTACATGATAAAATAGTATGGGTAAAATCATTGAATGGTACGCTTTAAGCAGGCATCCTCAAACTGCAGCCCACAGACCACATGCAGACCGCCTAGAACATTTATCTGGCTAACCGGGTCTTTTTCCCACTGCTGCTTGTCCTGCTTAGCAGCTGACTCATCCTGGGGCCCGCAGTCCAGCCCTCCAATGGTCTGAGGGACAGTGAACTGGCCCCATGTTTAAAAAGTTTGGGGACCCCTGACTTAAAGGATGAGGTTTTTGGTTGGAAAAGTTCTTATATCAATAAAATCTTTTAAAAGAAATCACATGAGTAAATAAACCTTAATATAATCTCACAGTGGCTCGGCGCCCATAGCTCAGTGGTTAGGGGGCCAGCCTTATACAACGGGGCTGGCAGGTTCGGACCTGGCCTGGGCCTGCTAAACAACAATGACAACTACAACAATAACAACAACAATAGCCGGGTATTGTGGCAGGTGCCTATAGTCCCAGCTACTTGGGAGGCTGAGGCACGAGAATCCCCTAAGCCCAAGAGCTGGAGGTTGCTATGGCTGTGACACCACAGCACTCTACTGAGGACGACATACTGAGACTCTGTCTCAAAAAATAATAATAATAATAAATAAATAAAAATATATATGTATATACATATAAAATCTCACAGTGTGATCATGTCTCTTCAATTTCCATTTCCATATTTTCTAATCTTTCTATAATAAGCATACATTAATTATGTAATAGGCACTTAAACTTATAAAGCCTTTACATGATACAAAACCCTTTACAATGTAATAAACATGCAAACTAAACATTATGTGCAAGTTAAAAATGTTAAGTTGTATGTGTATCTGGAAACTAGACATATTAATATCACAAGGATACCTTGGTTTAAACCAGTATCATAAACAACTGCAAAGTTAAATCCAGAAATTTTTATAAATTTCATGAGCTGTAACATACAAATAGCAAATGAAACATTAGACAAATTGTTAATTCATTACAATTAAGTGGTTCCTTCCAATATGTTGTCTTCTAATGAAAGTGGTCAAAAACAATTCCTAAGCAAGATATATTGCTAATTACTTTAAATTTCTTGAATAAGCTTCAACTGCCCAAATTAATGTATTATTCTCCAGGCTAATGAAATCCACATAGTATACTGTATTTTGTGCCACTTAAAAGTCAGAAGTAGTGTGGCTCACTGCACTCACTACTAATCCACCAGGCTCCTACCTCTGGGGGAAGGGAAGTACAGAGTGCAGGGTTTAAGGTTAGGAATCAAGAGTCATGTCTTCAGCTTCCTCCTATCACACCAGGTTAGGGTAATCTTTCTGTATGATTCATTTGACATTTTCTTCAGAGAAAACAGTCTTTCTACCATAGACAGATTATTTCTTAAAACTGCTACTTGGGAGGCTGAAGCAAGAGAATCGCTTAAGCCCAGGAGTTGGAGGTTGCCGTGAGCTATGATGCCACAGCCCTTGGTTTAAAAAAAAAAAAAAAAGCAAAGCGATTTGTATCTCAACTCTAGCACACTACTCCATATGATACTGGGGGGAATTTCCACTAGAAATACTATACATGCTTGTACTAAAAATGTACATTTTAACTAGGAAGGTGTGGGTATGTATGGGGGGGATGTAATCCTAGAAGTACATACCATGTAAATTTTGATTTGATTCTTTTTTTTTTTAAGAGACAGCTGGGACCACAGGCATCCGCCCCAAAGCCTGGCTATTTTTTGTTGCAGTTAGGCCGGGGCCATGTTTGAACCCACCACCCTCGGTATATGGGGCTGGCACCCTACCCACTAAGCCACAGGTACTGCCCCTGATTTGATATTTTTATTTTGTTTTCTCATTGTGTTGCCCTGGATTAGAGTGCCATGGCCTCACAGCAACCTCAAACTCTTGGGCTTAAGAGTTCCTCTCGCCTCAGCCTCCCTGAGTAGCTGGGACCACAGCCACTGACACAATGTCCAGCTATTTTTAGTAGAAATGGGGTCTCAATCTTGCTCAGGCTGGTCTCAAACTCCTGCACTCAAGGGATCCACCTGCCTTAGCCTCCCAGAGTGTTAGGATCACAGGCATGAACCATCTTAGCCCAGCTGCATTTTTGATTTGATTTTTAATCCTCTATTTTCAAAACATTAAAACAAAGTTCTAACTAAAATCAGTGTCTACAAGACATATAAATTCGTTATCTGTTATTAATTTTCTACTAATTTCTAAGATAAATCTGCATGCTTAGTTTCCTGTCCTATTGTCAAACATAGCCAAAAACTCAGACAACAATGTGTAAGCTGCTTTATAACAAGAACAGTGAAGCTTTAACATGCTATTTCCAATTATAACTAGAAGGAAGAAACTTATAAGTTGTGAATTTTCTATTAATTCCATTAATTAAATAATTTCCTTTAATAAAATTTTCGCATTATTTCTTAACAAAAGTGCGTGCCACAAAGGTGATGTGAAGTAAAATGACAAATCACTGACTGTAGTCTAGCATCACACATCAGAAACATAAGAAGCCCCTGCAAGTGAAATGTTAGATACTCTGTGTATCAGGATAGTCAATCAAAGTTAGATAGGCTCCATTTCACGCTCCACCTACTGCAATTTAAAGGGGTCGCTCCTACTGCTTATCACAGTGAATGGCTTATGCAGCCTTTTATTCTGTCTACTTGGTGATACCACAAATAGTGCAGGTATTTCACAGCCACACTGGCAGAACTTCATTAAGAAGCAAATGGGTAAAGTAGGATTATACTTTTACTCTCCTGCTTCCCATAAACCAGATACAGCCACAGTAATTAGAAATCTGTCAAAAAGTTCAATGAATGAGAATCCAGAACAGCAATTTTTTTTTTTTTTTTTTGGAGACAGAGCCTCAAGCTGTCCCCCTGGGTAGAGTGCCGTGGCATTACAGCTCACAGCAACCTCCAACTCCTGGGCTCAAG